TGACAAGGAATGGTTGGCCTTCCTGACTGCATCCCCACACTGCTGGCCCATGTTCATCTTGGAGTCAATGATGACTCCAACATCCTTTTCTGCCTCAGTACTGACAAGAATGGAGTTCCCCAACCTGTAGGTATGGTGCCGTTTTTTCCTCCACAGGAGGTGTTGGATCCCCTCCTATTCTCATCCACACATTCCTGTAACCTGTCTAGGTCCGATTGTAGCCTATTCCTCCCTTCTAGCATGCCCACATCCCCCCACATCTTAGTGTCATCAGCAAATTTGAACAGGGTGCTTTTTACCCCCTCGTCCAAGTCACTGATGAAGATGTTGTACAGTGTGGGCCCAAGGACCAAGCCCTGAGGAACCCCACTGCCCACATCCCTCCAAGCTGAAAATGACCCATCCACCACCACTCTCTGGGTGTGGCCCTCCAGCCAGTTGGCGATCCAATTTACTGTGTGGGTGTTGACACCACAGTCCCCCAGTTTCCTAATGAGAACGGGGTGAGAGACAGTGGCGAAGGCCTTCTGAAAGTCCAGGAAGACTATGTCCACTGCTACCCCTGCATCTAAGTCACTCCAGTGTTCTGCAAACCGCCCAGTGCTTGCTCAGATGAGGGTTGCAGGAGACCCTCAGCCAGTGCTTGCTGGCTGGGGCATGCAGGAAAACAAGCCCCAGGACTCTCCGGGCGAGGGTAGTATGAGAATCGCCCAGCAAAGGGGCAGTATGAGAGAGACTGCATGAGAGGCAGTGGAGTGAGACAGGCCTCAGTGAGAGGGAGGCAGTATGAGTGTAGCCTGTAATAGGGAAGAAAGTGAGAGGCTTAACACTGGGATGAGTTGAGCCTGGCCTCAGGCTGGAGCAGAGCTCAGCTTTTAGGAACATCTGTGAGGCTTGGGATGCAGTATAGGGGTGGTTGAGGCTGCATATATAGGCCCAGGAGAACAGGGCGTCCGAAGGGCAGCCTCCCACCTAATTAAGATCTTAATTTTTGAATAACAAGGCATGGCAGGTGAGAAAGGTGGGTGGCATGCCCAGAGGCAGGTTGGGAGACTAGCACTGTGGCTGGGCAGGGAGTTCCCACTTTGCCACACTTACAATACTTTTCCCAATGAGCAACAATATTAAGCCAGTACAAAAAAATGGCTCTTCTTCAGAAACATTTTGAAATCAGACACTAAAGTCAGAAATAAAATGAACTCTACCTGATAATGGGGAACATATGGAAAAGGCTGCAAAAGTTATTACATATTCAAACCATCCTAGATCTGGAATAGCTCAGTGTCACTTATCTCCCGATACAGAAACTCACCCAAACTTTGTTCTGGACCTGTCAAGCTAGGGGTCATTTTTAGTATTTTACCTGTCAAATGATGGCTTCTCTCCACAATCAAATGCATCCTGTAACTCTTTGACAAGGTTAGCCTGGCCTGGAAGTCTAAAAAGTCCTTCTTCTTTCAGGCCCTGCAGTCGGATAAAATCCACACATTGTTCCACCAACATGGGAGCCAGACGATTCCCATACCTCTTCTCATATCGTACCGTGTCTTCCAGCTTCTGTCCAAAAATACCTATGTGTAATAAAGAGAGACAAGAATGTGTTGAGGAAAGGATGCCATTGGAAGGGACATAACAAGGACTACAGATCCCTTCAATATATAGGGAAAGAGGAATTACAAATCTTCAGACTTATGGATAAAATTCTCAATTTCACACTCGCTGTATTGTACAATGGTGGTCCCAAACACAACCTTCAAATCATAAGAAAATGTATATGGTATGTAAATGTATATGGTAATTTTACGGCACTAGAGCTTTGAATCTAAGAGGAAAAATATGCCCATCTTCACTTGTAGGGCTAGGAGAAAATACACATGAACTCTGAGGGGGCCTCTATACCTGAGATGGCCTCAGAAATGCCTGCTTGATTTACAAGTTTTCAGTGACTTTCCAAGATGTAAAGCAGCTGCTACTGATTTCAACTAGAGTTGTGATTTATTCAGTAGCTCAATACATGGGTGCATGCACACACACACGCGCGCATACACACACAGAGAGATAATCTCTTTCTATATTTCATTACAAGACGCAAAATTACTTTGTTTCTTATTAACAAGAAAATGTGCATGTGAGGAAAAAAAGGTGGTTGTTGTGGTAGTAAAATATGCCACATATGTGTACTCACACCTACATTTATCCATGGAACAGACATGCTGTAGACAAATTTGCACTTCAGAACTGATACCGGAATATCAATAATAGCAGTAAACATGTAATTATTTCTCCACAGCTATTCAAACTTTGGATCCTGCTCTGATACTACATGATGCTGTTGTCAATGGTGCTACAGAACCACCTGTAATGGAAGGTTTGTGAGGCATATATCTGTTGACTAGACAGTGGGCTAAAGACAACGAGTGTATCTTATATCCAGAAGGAGGTCAAGCAGTGTACGGTCATTCATAACCAGGGACTGAATTCCAAATCCTTCTCAAGAGTGTGGGGAAAATGCAGTAAGTCAAATTCTATTCTTTGATAACCACTGACATTTCCCAGGGAATTAGAAAAAATTCCATTCCCATTTCCCCTACAAACATATTTAATCAAAAGATTGGGCTTCATACTTAACTGTTGTTTATATTGCTATTGTTATTTTACTAATACATGGTACTAAAGAAAACTGGTGGGAATTCTACTGTGTCCAACTCAGTGATTTTAGCTGGAATGATTTAGCTGAAATAGAACAGTTTTGATTTCCACAACGCTGATTTGAGGCCACAAACTGGCAGTGGATAGACAAGGATGGGGCCATGGAGACTCCTTCCTTCCTAGTCCCATTTTATGCATGTTGCAGAGGAGCCAAAAACCAAAAATTCATTGTTACAAAAATAGTTTTTGAAATTTCAGAGTTAATCAAACTTAGAGGAAGACTAACTGAAGCAGAACATTTGGTGTCCAGCCAAGTTCCTCTCTCAGCTCTTAAAAGTTCGTGGTAATAATACTTCCTTATTTTTAAATAACTTTTTGATCCTAGCTGGGCCCATATGGGTATGATGAAATGATTAAACATGCCTGAAGTTTTTTGTCTGTTTTGTTTTAGCTGATAAAGCTATGGGTTGATGTTTGTCACTACTGTAGAATTTCTCTATTTCCTCCCTTTGTTTGATTTAATATTGTGAAATTAAGGAGAAAGCTAAATTGACAATATATGATGAAATTGCATTTTTTTTGTCAGATTAAAGGGTTCAACATTCATTCTGATCCTGGGATGATACCCAAAGCACAAAGTCCATAGCACTGAGTCACAGCTTTGGGACAGCTGAATCAGAATTGCCTGAGAAAGTAATGTTCACAAACTGAGACTTGTCCAGACCTAACTATAGAACCCAATCTGAATACTGGTACTGTGAAAATCATGGTAGGTTCAATGTATTGATAATTCTGCTGGCCTCAGTTCTTGTGCCATTGGGCTGAGACTGATGAGAAAGTGGAAATGGTGCCAGTGGACCTTCTAACCTTATCAAAAAGAGGAATCATCAGAAATCTTACAAAAAATCCCTGGTTTTATTAGATTATCATCTTGAATTTCCATATACTTAGGGAACTGAACTCAGTGACCTGGGTGGCTCTTCCTGTCCTATGTTCCTGTATGCTTACAATAGCAATTTATTCACTTCCTAGGTACTGCCTACAGCTCTAAACAGAGCCCCAAAATAAAGTGGTTCTTTCAGTACATAGCGAAGTTCCCCCTCACCAATAGCCATTAAGTTCTCATGGCACTAGCACCAGAGGTTTCAATGCTTTTGAAATTAAATTAATCAGTATAAAATGTGGCTATTACAACTATAAGTACAACTCCTGCCCATTGAAAATGCAATGAATTTGAATGAACGCTGTCTTATTAACTATATTTTTTCCTCTATGCATTTATGCTTTGATTAATGAGCATATTATAGGCATGTTTACATTTCCAGAGAAGAGAGTAAGTTCTCAAAGCCATTAAACTGCTTAAAATCTTATGTTATCTCTGACACTGTTGTCAAAACACACAGTTTCAAGTTTGGGGGTTTTTTTGGGGGTGGGGGGTTGGTTACAGAACTGAATTTCAAAGCATGTCTAGTCTGAAATGAATGAAATTAGGAGAGGGTTTTTTGTGCACTGGGAGCAAAAAATGTTTTTATATTGTTATAAATTGCTGATGCACCACAATGCAAGCTACAGCATGCTGGAAGCAGCCAGCTGCTGTATTGCATTAAAATGCTTGTAACCAGGTCCAACAGTATTGCTGAGCATAAAGAGTGGTTCAAACATTAAAGGTGTCACTTTTTAAAATGGTTACAAGCACCCTCTCTAAGTCATCAGCAACTCTGGGCTGCTAAATGGGAAAGAAACTTGAACAATCAAATAAGAAGAAGGCATTTTGTTCCCAAACAAAAATTGACACCAACAGCAAAAGCTGTAGTTTTTTCAGGTAGTTGCCTAATGTTTGGAATCTAATTCTATACTTATGAGTAGAGTGTCGTTATCAAGTCACCTAAACATGGATAGAAATGACAAGTGTTGGACCCCAAGATGTCAAATGTCACCTGGGATTTATTCTCTTCTGTGTTCAGGCTTCATGTGTAAACTTAGGAAAAACACTCAACCACAACCCAGATTCCTTGTCCTCCTCCCTCCCCCATACTTCCAATTTTGTGCATTAGCATTCTTGAAAACACACATCTGGCCCCAGGAGGGTGATATAAATGAAGTTAGTCACTTTGTTTCCCAGGATTATCAGTGTGGAGAGTTAGAAACTTACCGCAGTGTTTTTTCAGAGATGTGGACTATTTGCAGGGAGCCATCTAGAGTTAGCTCAAAGGAGTCACTAAGCAACAGAGCTATATCTGAACTATTCCATGGAGCTTAGGTACATGACCAAAGCCTGCACCTTAGGCACTTCTGTTTACTCAGGATCTAAAGACTAGGAAGGTGAAAGCTCTCACCCAGGAAGTGTGAAAATCACCAGCCTATTAACTAGTCTGGATGAGGATACCATCCATCCTTTCTGCTGAAGCTGGACATGCTAGAGACATTGTACCAGGAGAACAAGGAAAAGGGAACCTGGCCCTGAAGGTCAGTGATTAGGATAATCAGATGAGAAGTCCCTGTTCTGTGGATTGTTTCTGGGTTTTATTTTATCCAATGACTGTCTAATGTGAAACACATCAACAGGCTAAGGAACAGGGGGCAAACATTCTAAATCTGTGCATTTGTATTTCCAGTTGGAGTTTTCCTGATGGAGTCCATAAAATTTATGGTAAAGGGTGGTGTATGAATATAAACAGGTCATGGCTACTTCCCCTGATGTACCTACTTATGGGTATTCCTGATCTTTTCATTTCTAAGTCACAAAACATTTGCAAAAAGAGGCTCTTATGCATAGAGCTACAGTTAGGCAATGCATTTAAAAACTGCAAGGCACAGTAAGGCAGGAAAACATCATTAGTAATGGATGTGTATACCCAGGAGGCTGGTAGGGGATGGACCTCAAGATCAAGTTATTTGTATACATGAAGGTCTCCTCTAACTGTGTATTCCAGTATAGGGACAGTGAATAGAACAGCCACATTCTGGAGCCCTGTCTCACCAAAAGGGATAATATCCTAGTAAAACGTTTTCTGCCTTCCCTTTCCTACTTTTAGATACCTCAGACAATAGCAAAAGTGCTGTCTTTAGAAAGTATGAAGAACAGAAGAATGCATCTCTTAATACACTTGAGAAGGGCAGGGCACCATATGGTAGGAGGTTTATGACAATTTATTACATACGGAGCCACATGTGCTCTCAATTACACGTGGTATAAATCTAAGTAACTCTGCTAGGCTGGACTGAGCTAGCTTCCACCTGCAGGGTGCATAATCCAAACATACAGGGTCTAGGTAGCAGAAAAACTGTTCTAAAGAGTAGCAGTTGAGTAAAACTTCTGTAAGTCCCACTCTACCATGGATCTTAGAACTGACAAGAAAGCCCCAAATGTAGGATATGCTGGCTCTGGAGGGTAAAATCAGATGCAGACAATATGGAGTCCAAGCCACATGTTAAAATTTCTCTTGCAAAGTGGAATTCCCATTGTACTAAACAACGTTTGCTTGCCTTGAGGGTGAATCCCCCAAAGCAGAGGATGCAAATTGCATTCCCATCCTGCCAGTAGGGCTAAAAACCAAGCCTTTTGACCTCATGAAAGTTCTTCCAGATTTATAATGGGTACAACAAAATATAACCTGATCCTGAACAGTTTAAAATAAAACTTGCAACAGGAGCATCCTCTGATCTGCCATGTATGAGATTTGGGTTTGGGAATCAGATTTTTGGGTCCTATATCACAGTGAAACAAAGGCCAAATATAGGGAAATGTTCTTGACTCACAGTAAAGGGTATCTAAGTGAGAATTTCCACAGGCCTAACTCTTTACAGGAAGAGATGCACTCATACTGAAGACATGAGATCAAATATATCAGACCAAACACATCAAATATTAGGCCTGTCAAGTATCATGTGAAACCACTTAGATACATGGAATCTGATGGGC